GCCCAAAAGGGATATTTTGTTAACGTCTTTACAAAAATGAATCCACACATTTATCAAATACGAATTCCTGAGCTACTAAATACTACTAGTATCAATAGACTCCAAACAATATCTACACACAGTTCTGGCTTAATAAGTGGATCATTGATCTGTGAATTTTTTGACTTAGGTGGATAGTTAAATTTTCTTGCATGATTTGTTCATAAATCGTCTACAAAATGGGGAAAAAACGTAAAATAATAATGAGGCAAAACAGAACAACAGAATCGTAAGAAAAGATTAGCTAATTGGATTCATTGCTGTGTTTTAATCTTTTGCTACCGTTTTTAAATGTAAAGATAAGCCAAATGAAGCTCTCGCATGATGCTTTTCAATTTTTAATACTTTTTTTAGGGCAGGTACGAGAAAAAACTATGTAAAATTAACAAACAGCGGCGGCCTTAAATTCGGTCAGCAAACTCAGATGATCGATAACGACTTTTAAAAACTGGACAAAACTCTTAGCGTCATAATAAGTATAAACAGAAACAAGACAAACTGAATGCACGCAATGCACTGAAAATAGAAACTTGCTTCATAAACAAGTTACTTTTGAATGAAGATCAAATAGCTATTAAAACTGTTTTACTTCTTCAATGCGCCATTGATATTTCTAATATTTGAGAAATGTTTAAAAAACTAATGATTTAATTGAGGATTTGAGGCCGGTGGGCCATGGACAGAATACCCAGTAAATGCATAGATCTGTGCCACAATTTCAATCCCTTTTCCAAAAGAACAGTAATTGGGAACATCTGTTAGTTATTAATTAGGGTTGTTTTCCTTCGAACAGGAAATCGCATTTCGCATATATTTAATATAATTCACGAATTTTAAAATATTAAAAAATATTTGCGAAATACCGGCTATATTTGTGTGGCCACCACAAATCGAATTTTGCTAGGCTACTATGTTCTGTTCAATATAAGAATCAAAAATAACAATTGGATCGACCATTCAGCCGAGAACGAGTGTGCCAAACTGAAAAAAGAAAGAAAAGTAAAAAAGAAAATGGGAATTGAATTTAAGTGCTGTAAATTATGCCATATGAACTAGGTCTTGGCTTAACCAAGCTCTTGTGTTTTTTGGATGTTCAAGGTTCCATTTCCCCCCTTTTTTGTTAGTCGCTTTTATGGATCATTTCACATTTAGAGGCAGGTGTGTTTTGAGACGTTATCCAAGACATTTACCGCACACACGGTCAGCGGTATATTATCAATAAAATCCCAAAGACTTCGCAAAAAAGCTTCAATTTTAATTATTCACGCTCAGTTTTTACACAATTTTTATGGAATATATATGGTGAAATTTCATAAGGAGGCACTTCGCTTCTTCATTTAAGGAAATTCAAAATGTTGGAAAAATTATTGGGAGTGGGGGCTGTAGACCCCCAGCCCCCCTGCTCCGCGGTCCCTGGAGAACACAAACGGACGGCCAGTGCGTGGTATCGTCCCTGTGGTAAAACATGATGCTATCGACGCGAGCAAACCTTAGCGTACATTTAGTTCAAGAGTCGTCGCGCCCAAACCACAAAAATAGCATATAGTTAACGATCTGTCCATGAAAGGACATCAATAAATCTCAATGTGACGTATGCTGCCTCAAGTAAAAGAAAGTGAATATTAGTTTGCTTTGTTATGCTTTAAATCTATTGCTATACCGTGTTTAGATAAGGGGATCAACTTTATGAAGCTCTTGGCAAATGTTTATTAAGATTTCTAGTGTTTTTAGGCCAGGTGAGATGAGTATCACTTAATCAAATTATAGGTAAAAAGGAGGCGAAACATGCAAAACCATCCACCATTGGTAACAATTTGCAAACGCATCTTCCACATCTGTCATACATTCGGTTTCAGTTATATAGATAGCTGTACAAGACCTTATATACACTGGAGCCGACGGGGTCTGTTCTTCTAAATAAATGTTCTGGTACGAATTTTTCCTGGTAAGGGATTTTGAGTTACGTTGTTCGCAATCTCACAAGCAAATGTGGCGCCCATCCTTCTTTAAAATAATTTTGTTCCTGGCAAACGTTTTCAAGGTCAAAAACGCCTTATATCTATTTTTATTTTTTATTTTTCCTGGCAAAGTTCTTTTTTCCTGAATTTCTTGCTGGCAACCAGTTGTGAATTGCAGCTGGCTGGGACATAAGAACAGATATATTTCTCACTGGATCCCGGCGGCTCCTCCTATTATATCTATAATTTAAATCAAATTTTTAAGTAAATCTATTGCGTTAACGAAGAAAGCTATAATTTTAGATACAAAGTAAATGAAACGAAAGTAAGCCTACTAGAATACTATTTGTGGAGATGTTGAAAATGAAAGAGAATAGAAAAGGACAATAATAGGTAGAAAATCCTTTTCATCCTGCCTCTATGCACAAAAACATAGCCACTAACAGGCCTCAGTTGTGCTTAGATTCTTGTCATGGCTTCGTCTAACATCACATCAACTTGTTTCTCAGCACTAAATTTCAATTTCACGACAGGTTTACCAAATTCCGTAGTATCTGCACGGACTGTTCTCGCATGTGTCAATGGAGTCGCCGCTCCATTAACTGTAGTTTTCAATACCTTGATAATCTGGACCATATTGGGCGATCATCAACTCCGATCCAAGAGTTATAACATTTTGTTATCGGCCCTTGCAGTGAGTGATTTACTTGTCGGGTTAGTGGTACAACCGCTGTACTCTTGGAGTTTAGTCTGTTTACTTATAGAGTGCGAGACACAGTGTTTTCTGTCTCTCGCCAATACAATTCTTGGTTTGCTTTGCACTGGACTAACCTTATGTACTTTAATGATGCTAAGCGTAGAAAGATACCTCGCTATACAGCTTCCAATCTTCCATCGCAACCATGTTACAACCAGGAGAGTCATGATCGTAGCAGTCTGCATGTGGATAGCAGTGCCATCAAATATGCTGGCTTTCAGAATCATTCTAAATAACTCCGAAACCTTAAAAAAAGTACCAGTACTCAGGTTCGTTTTAGGAAACCTCCTTATCACCTTGTACTGCACCATTAAAATAAATATCACGGCATATTTCAAAACCAAATCCAAGGTAAATCCAACAGCTTCATCACAACAGACAAACCAGGAACACGATGAGCAGCGAAAGCGTCAGATTGATGAGTACAAGCGAGCATTTACAATGGGGTTTTTAGTGCTTGCATCAATCATATTCTACTTTCCTTTCACCATTGTCAACATCATACTAACTGTCAAGGGAAAAGACGTCACTCAAGAATTCAAATATATTTCCCAGAATATTTCAGTAACGTTTATTCTTCTACAGTCTTTGGCCAACCCTGTCCTCTTGCTACTTCGTGTAAAAAAAATCCGAAAAAGTTTAAAAGCGAAAATTTTAACCATTGAGATGCTTAATTAATTTTAACCATTGAGATGCTCAATTAAACAGACAATACGCCAATTGCAAAGCTACTACTTTAAACATCAATGAGAACAACCATGAAAATCTAAAAAAGGCAAATTCAGCCAATCATTACCAGTCACTTCTTAATAAAGTAAATTACGCTAATGATGAAACAACCTAGAAGGTCACATCCTGTCAAGAGTGACAACCTACCATGTCACGCTATAACAGAGTTGAACCATAAATTCAGCCAATGATGGACTAAGCCATAACATCAGCCAATGACAAATGACAACCTACATCATGATGTCACGCTATAACCGAGTTGAACCATAAATTCAGCCAATGATGAACTAAGCCATAGCATCAGCCAATGATGAGTGACAACCTACATCATGATGTCACGCTATAACAGAGTTGAACCATAAATTCAGCCAATGATGGACTAAGCCATAACATCAGCCAATGAC